GGCCAGCTGTTCGGCCCCGTCCGCATGCTGTGGTGGTGGCAGGGTCCTGGGAGCAGTGGTGCAGGGACCCAGCGTGGCCAGGTGGAGGAGGGAGTCCCCAGAGCAGGGATGGAGACAGCCGGCGAGGACGCGGGTGCACGGACCACTGCTGCAGGGGAGGGAGCCCTGCAGACCGCTACAACGGGGAGAGCAGAAGGGCTTTTCCTGCGGGTGAGTTTCCCACTTATGAAAGAAAGTCCAAAATTCCAGGAGATACGTGGAATCGAAGACATGGAAGTTTTATTGGTCATGATGAAAGTTGTATCTAGATGAAGTGTGCTCCATGCAAATGCCAGGAGATGCTCCCTTATATTGGGGAGTGGGAAAGAGAAGGGGCTAGGGAGGGGAAAACTTAGTTAGCTTTGCCTCCTGGCCTTTAGATTGAGGCAGAGGCTTGTTAGTCATGCCCTCTACCTGTGCCTTACGTGACCTACCATACAGGTTAAATGGAGATGAGACTGCATGTTAGGTCTCTGGGTTCTGGGGTCGTGGCCAAACACCCCAGTATGTCTTCTACAGTCCAACACATCAGATCCATCTCAGATCCATCAGATCCATCAGATCCACTGATCCCTCAGATCCGTCCTTGGAGGCCTCTGCTGAGCACCTGTCTCCAGCTTCCCTCCCTACTTGTGTTTTCACCTTGACTTCCCTTAATAATGAACTGTGATGGAGGTGTGAGCCAAACAAACCCTTTTCTTCCCAAGGTCATGTTTGGAGATTTTTTTTTTTCTGACAGCAATAGAAGCCAATAAGGACAGGCCCCAACGTCCTGTGTGTGTACCCCAAGTCCCAGAGCCTCAGAACTCTCTGAGGTCCCCACAACAAGGTTGGGAGTCAACCACCAGCTTTGAGGATCTAATGCACCCCATATGGAAATACACTTTCCCAGGAGTACCCAGGCGCTACACAGTGACCTAAGCCATTTGTAGGCACTATTGTAGGGAACCCACATCACAAGCCTACTGGGGACTATTGTCTTCTCCCCACTTTACAGAGAGGTTAAAAATTTGCCCAAGTTCACACAGCAACCCTAGCAATAAAGCTGGGATTTTTTGTTTTGTTTATCAACATCATCTTATATAACTTAGGTTGGCCTCTGACTCCCTAAATAGCTGTGGGTGATCTTGAATTTCTAATTCTCCTGCCTTAACATCTCATGTATTGGGACTACAGGAGTGCACCACCATGCCTGGTTTATGCTGGAGGGTGAGGGGGATAGGAGCCAGGGCCTTGTGCATGCTAGGTACACACTAGCAGTGAAGCCACACATCCAGGTAGGGCCTTAACAAGCTGATTTTCAGCTGAACCAGAATGAAGAACCTGATCGACTTTGTCTTATTTGTCTTACCAGCATTTCCTAAACTTGTTTGTTTTATATAATTATTGTCTTAGTTTAGGTTTTATTGCTGTAAAGAGACAGACACCATGACCATAGCAACTCTTATGAAGGAAAACATTTAATTGGGGCTGGCTTACAGCTCAGAGGTTCAGTCCACTATCATCACGGCGAAGAGCATGGCAGCGTCCAAGTAGACATGGTGCTGGAGAAGGAGCTGAGAATTCTACATCTTGATCCGAAGATACAGAACTGTATTCCACACTGGATGTAGCTCGAGCATAGGAATCCTCAAAGCCCCGCCTCCACAGCGACACACTTCCTCCAACAGTGCCACAGCTACTCCAGCCTCCTAAACCACTCCCAATGGGCCAAGCATCCAAACACATGCATTCCTATTCACACCACCACAGTTATGCATATTTAGTCATATCACAAAAGACAAGTGATGCTGTGGGCCAACGTGGTCTATTAAAGGGTTTAACAAGGGAGCCTTTAGATTTAATTCAAAGCTGTCTGTAGCAATGTCTACATCACCAGACATCCATACTTCTGTGTGCAGTAGTCCCTTTTCTGGGAGGTTCTTTGAGCCACAATGTGTCTGACACACTCTTCTGTCTCTAGTACCCAGAACATCTGCTTGCTTAAAGTCATTGGAATCACTGAAGAGACCTGGCATGCGGGGCGTGGGCAGGTGGCCCGGAGGGTTAGAGTGTGGAGGGATGGGTCAGAGGCAGTTTCGGGGAGGGTTGCTGGGGGTATTCCAGGAACCAAAGTCTTAGAGCCAGAGTGGAAAGCAAGCCATGCCCACTCTGTTGCATAGCTCAGGGTGGACCTAGATGATGCTTAAAACCTATGGTAAGTCTACCCAGGATCTTCCAAGCAACAGTTGATTACCTGATAAACTGGAAAGTGAGGCCTTTGTTGGAGTTGAAGGTGTATCAGGGAGTTCTGAGCTTTAAGAGTGAGAGTGAAAGAAAAAAGTCCTTAGACTGGTGGGCACCCAACTTTCTCTTCTGCCACGCAGAAGCTGCCAGGAGGAGAGGCTTTGGGCTGCTCTGTACACGCGTGCTCACTCCTTTCTCTTTGGAAAGGACAGGACTGAGGACAAAGCCACAAGCTGTTCAATGGGGACCAGAATCTATCTCTGATGCTGTGGCGTCAGGGCCTGTGCCTGGCTTCCTTTCCTCTCCCTGCAGTTCCTCTCCCTATCTGCTCTGGCCACTTGAGAGAAGAGGCAGCCACCTGTATGTTTGTATGTTCCATCCCTGTCATAGCCCCACCTCCACCACAGCCTGCTTCCCACTGCTGCAGCCTGACTTGTCTGACTGGCCCTAATGAGATTACAGATGCCTAGTGACACAGGCAGGTTAGTTCCTGCTGGCTTACAGGTCAGGGCAGGCCACAAGCAAGAGCAGGAAGGAGTCTCCCTCTGAGATGCTGTGTGAAGATTTTTACAACCACAGTCGCTTGGTTGCTGCTCAGCGCCTAGAGTTCCCCACGATCCTCACTCGTAGCCCCTCTGGCTAGATGCTGTTATCATCTCTGCTTTATAGGAGCCTGAAGCAGTGAAAGATAAGATGGTTTGTCCAGGATCACACAGCTAGTAAGTAGCAGACCTGGGTCTCAAATACAGATTTCCTGGGCTTTGCCATCTTTAAAAATAAGCAGATCTTGGGGCCTTAAACCTGGTTGAAGGCCTGTGGCTGTAGAGTCGTAAACCCTGATACGGTGGGACCTATTATTCTTTTGCTAGACAGGACTGTTGTAGAACTACCTTCTAAAAAGTGATGCTTATTCCCATTATCAATTGTAGCCAGAGAAACTTCTCTTTGCAGCGGGCAGCCATTGATGTATGACGGCTCAATGCACTGAGAACGAGAGACTGTTCACCCTCTTCAAGCTTCACCCTCTCAAGGCTCAGGGAACATCCTTGGAGAGGAAGCAGGAAGACTGAGAGCTGAAGGATGGGCAGGGTGCTGTGACATGTCCTCTTCTGCACATGCACTCACGTGTCCACAGAAGCTCTGGTTGTCCCCATAAGACCTGCACAAGATCAAGCTGGGCAACGATTCCAGCATGGGTGGGGGAGGGGCTTATGAGCTTCACCCTTGGCTCAGGAGCTATTGGCAACTGAAGGCTGCCGGGGGAAGGGGAATCATCTTTTTATCGGGGTGTGTGTGTGTGTGTGCTGGTAGGTTGTCCACACTCATGCAAGCAGCATTAATTGCACTAATTTAAAGAAGAAGGGAACAAGAAGGTAGGAAGGGCATGTGCTGGGGAGGGCCCTGGAGGAGTTGCTCTTGTGGGTGGATGTTGTTAAGTCTCAGAGCAGGACAAACGGCTGAGATGCTTGTTGACATATCAAAGTGACACTGGCCCCCAGGTCCTCCCAGCATCCCTCACTCCCTACCTGTTACAGGATCTTCCTGGCTGGCACACCTTTCCCAACCCCCAACCCTGAACTCCCCAGCCCAGCCACTGGGCTTCCCACACCCCAGCTCCTCTGGTCCCTAGATAACTCAGCCATTTTGGCTACACCAGTCTTTGGCCCAGACCCCTCTTGATCCCGGCTCTTCTCTTGCCCTTCCTCCCCCTCTCTCCTCACATGGCCCAGCTCAGTCTGGCCACATCCATCTAGACTTTTCCAGATGCCTCTGGCTGTTTTCTCCCTCTTCTCTACAATGAACCTTCTCCTCCACACCTAGGAGCAATCATGTCCTCCTTTTTGTTTCTTTTTTTAATTTCATTCAGATGTGATCAAGATACATTGTTTATATGTATAAAAAAAAGAATAAATAAAAGTACTTTTAAAATAAGTAACAGTTCCTGAGGGATGTGGGGGTGAGTCGTCTTGAGCTTACCCTCTTAGAAGAAGGTTTATTCATTTCCTGTTGACATTAGGTTGAAGTCAGGGCTACTGAACTCAAGTCTAAAGTCCTCTCAGTGTCACCTGACCCAACACTGCCAGCTTAGAGACTGTGCCTAGGGACCCAGGCTCTCCAGGTCTCAGATCTCAATGAGGTCATCAGATCGCAATGATGTGGAGACCACCCAGACCCAAGGTGGTGGGGTTACGGCCTCATGATTGGCTGTAGCTCACAGGGCAAGCCGGGCCACATCTTTTATTCTTTCTGAATCTGCACCGGCAAAGTGCCACATTTACATTGCTCACTCCTGGGGACTGTCATTAGCATGAATGATGCTGACACAACTACGTGCTTCTAGGGCAGCCCTCAGATGCCCGCTAGCACTCACTGAGGTGGGCAGTGACTCCCTGTCTGGCTTCTACATCGTTATGAGGTGGAATGAAGCACCTCTGCTTCTTCATGGTGTCTGGTCCCTCCTCTCTTTAAGAGAGGCATTTGGCTTTGAGGACTGGATGCCCCGACCACGTGGCCTGCTCTAATTTCCCAGGCCCTAATCTGCTCCTAGCTCCTAATGATGCAGCTGGTAATAGGATTGTGGCTTCCCTCTGGGCGGCTGCACAGACCATGGCTGCAAGGCCGGTGATAGGTGCTTAGGATTCTGTTCACCTGTAAATAGAGAGGCTTGTGCCTCCAGCCCAGACCTGGGCCTCATCCTACAGTGCATGGAATGGTGCCAACAGGCTGGGCTCAGCATGGTGCTGGGCGCTGTTCTGGCTCGAGGGCGGGCAGTGTGTAAACACAACGGGCTCCTCATCCTGTCCGTGCTGTCTGTCATCGTGGGCTGCCTCCTTGGATTCTTCCTCAGGACCCAGCGCCTCTCACCACAGGTCAGGCCCCTGGGGTGTGTAGGTCTGTGGGGCTGGGGCTCCTAGAGTTGTGACAGTAGGAGAGCCAGGTTGCTTCTCTGAGTCCCAATGTTCCCATCTGTATCATGGGTATAAAAATACCCACTAGTGTGAGATGTCAGTATAATGGCTGGCAAGATAGCAACAAAGCCACAGAGCCAGCACAGGAGGGTGGTTGGGGACAGAGACACACCACTGAAAAAGCATAAGGTCAAGAGCAATGGAGGGGAGATCAGAGGTCTTCAGAGGACCCTGACCGGTGACCAGGGTCCAGGATGTTTCCTATGCTGCAGGACCTGCAGGATGAGGCTCAAGGGTATATAAAAGTTGGGAGCGATGGATCACGCCCTTCGTGTGGAGGAGGGCTATTGAGATACACAGGGAAGATAAGGGGCTGGAGTGAAGAGAGCAAAAGCTGAAAGATTCCCCTCACCAGACACGGGCTTGGGACAACTGTGCAAAGCCACAGAGAGGAAGAGAGACTGGGCAGATGAACACTTTGGAGTGATCCCCGGATACTGAGTGGAAGATGGGGTGGTCGTGGATCAGACAGGAGAAACTGCAGGGGAGCAAGTGGCACTGGGCTGACGGGGAAGTGTAAGAACAAGTGCTCACAGAGAGGAAACTTCCGGAGGTGCTGCTGGGGGAAATGGGAAACAGAGTGGTTAGGCTGCCTCGTAAATGCATTGTCTGGGAAAGATCTGTGGAATGGGGAAGACCCTGGTGACCTTACATAAGGCATTATGGATGCCTGTTCCAACAAGGAAGACACAGTTCAGGACCAGGGAGACAGTGTCAAGGCCTCCAGCTGGGGAGACAAGCCATGCAACAGAGACAGCTGGGGTTTACAGCCCAGGCACGGAGGGACAGGTCAGTGGACAGGAAATGACTTTGAGAGGGGACATCAAGAGTCAGGCCCTTGCTTGGTGCAGGCAAGGGATCAAATATTGAGAAGAGGGAAAGAAAAATTGGATCAGATCTTGGGGGGCTAGAGGGTGAGGGGATTCTCATCAGACCCATTTAGCAGACTTTTGGTTGCAGCCGCATCATGGAGGCTCACTGAGGAGTCTGTTTTCAGAAATGTCTGTCTGTCCAGACCCATAGATTCTTCATCCTTTAACTCAGGGATACATCGCATTATCTCTGAAGCTCCAGCCAGGCTTCACATTCTGATGCAATCTTCCACTAAAGGGGTGAGGTCCCCTCCCCTGGTAACCAAACAACCCTGCTTTCCCCTGAAGTTACTCAGGAAGAAGCAGGGACTTCAGAAGCACAGCCCCAACCTTCAACCCCACAATGGCTGAGCTAAGTCCTCTCTCTACTTTGGCTTCACTTTCCTTCCCTGTGGAGTAAAGGGAGCAGGTGTATCTTCCAGTATTGTTGAAGGGAGTAAATAGCTACAGTGCCTGGTATACAGCAAGCGCTTACTGAATGCCACGTCACCCCCTCTCTTGTCTCCCTGCCATAGTCTGTCTGTGATGGTTGATCTTGACCACTCGGATTTAGAATCAGGATGAAAACACTCCTCTGGGGAAGTATAAGAGGCTGTCTCCAGAAAGGTTTAACTTTCTATTCCAGAGAGGGAAGGCCCACTTCAGTGTGAACAGCACCATCCCATAGGTGGGGGCCCAAAGTAAATAAAAGAAGAAAGTAAGCTGACACCAGCACTGTCTCTCTCTGAGTTCTGACTGTGTCCAGATGCCTGGTGTTCTTGCTTTGGTGCCTTCCCTGTGAGCAGCCGAAATAAGCCCTCCTTCCTTTAAGTAGCTCTGCTAGCTAGTTGGTCACTGCAACAAGAGAAGCAACAAATGCACTTAACCTACACCTAAAGCACCTGTTCTAAGGCAAGTGTCCATCTGAAATACAAATCCTGCCTCACTCTTTCTCCCGTGCACTCCCCCACTGTGGTGCTGTAACTGTGGTTGCCCTGTTCCAAGTCTTTAAATGGGTGTCTGTTTCTCCCACAAAACTGAGTCTGCCAAGCTAATCAAGGTGTGTGTGTGTATGTGTGTGTATGTGTGCGTGCATGCGTGTGCTCATGTATGTCTCACACACACCAGCACACATGTAGAAGTCACAGGACAATTACAGAAGTAGGTTCTGTCCTTTCACAATGTGGGGTCCAAGGACTGGACTCAGGTTGTCAGGATCTTCCTGGCTGCATGGACTTTCTTGACCCCAGGACATGACCCTCAAGGAGCACGAGGCACAAAGATCATCAACGTGGCCCAAATGACACCAGCTGGGGCCCTGGTTCTCTTCAACCTGCACTCGGATCTGGAGCCGCAACTCTCTCTTCTGGGAGATCATTTTGTTTTTCATGAATTGGACTTCCTAGTAAGTAAAGCCAGATCGCCTGGGACTTCCTGTGTCAGAGCCACCCTCCCCATCTTCTTGGATGTGTGGGTGCACTCAGGTCTGGACTTACCTGCCAGATACACTGAAGGAGGGTGTGGGTGGAGTCGGAATACTCATTTGGCAGGAAGTGGCTTTCTGAGCATTGTCCTCTGAAATCCAGGATTTTTTATTTGGTCTCTTTGCCTGTGACTCAGACAGCAAATCCTTCCAACTGTTTGAGCTTACGCAACAGGCAGAAACTTGGAAAAGGGTAGAATGTTCCATTTGTGAAGAGAAACTCACAAAATTAATGTGATTTTTACCTTTGGATGTAAATAATTCATTAAAAATAGAGACCTTTTAAGACGTCTTCTTAAGCTATGAGAATTTATAATTAAATTCATTTTCTTTCTTTCCTATGAATTTTAATGAAACTTTAAAAAAACCTTTTACATTTATTTTGTGTATCTGTGTGCATGGTATGAATCTACAGACACACACACATGTGCACACACACACCCTACAGTGTACAAGTGAAAGTCTGAGGACAACTTGCAGGAATCAGTTCTCTCCTCTAGGTATTGAACATAAAAGATTGTCAGCTTGGCAGCAAGTTCCTTTACCTGCTGAGGCATCTTCATCAGACCTGGTAGAATATTTTCAGAAATATCAATCACCCAAACCAAAGAGAAAGAATGTGGCTAGACAGTATGGGGAGTGGATGAAGCTGGCTAACCCAGTTCAGAAGAGCCCAGAAGACTGGCATCATAGCCCGTAAGAGCAGATACAGGGGTGAAGTATGGAGTTGGCAGTAGCCCTTTAGGCCCCAGAGCTCTTCCAGGCCACATGGTCAGAGGACTTCTGTTTCTTCTGTGTCTAACTCTGGCCTGCACAGGGTCAAGTCAGCTTGGCTTGGGGGCATCAGATCCAGCTCTGTGAGATGAGGGAAGGGCAGTAGTGAAGTAGTGAAGTGAATATTTCCTTTTTTTTTTCTTTAGGGTTCACAAACTTTATTGGTTCAATAATAAACAGCAAAGAAAACGTTAACTATCACTCCAGGGGCATCATGTAGACATGAAAGCCACCCTTGGAATACGAAGTGAATATTTCTTCTTAGTTAAGGTTTTACTGCTGTGAATAGACACTATGACCAAGGCAACTCTTATAAGGACAACATTTAATTGAGGTTGGCTTATAGGTTCAAAGGTTCAGTCCATTATAATCAAGGCAGGAACATAGTAGCATCCAGGCAGGCATGGTACAGGAGGAACTGAGAGTTCTACATCTTCATCTGAAAGCTGCTTGCAGAATACTGACTTCCAGGCAGCTAGGACTAGGGTATTAAAGCCCACACCCACAGTGAGAAACTTACTACAACAAGGCCATACCTACTTCAACAAGGCCACACCTCCAAAGAGTGCCACTCCCTGGGCCAAGCACATACAAACAAACCATCATGTCTTATAGCAATCTATAGACACTGGGTTCTAGATGCAGCCTCCACAGCAGAACCCTGGGACAGCTGGAAGCTGGGCTTCAGTACAAGGCCTCTTGCTGGAACCTCACAGAAAGACCTATGATCTCTTTGAGAAAAGAGGCTCCTGTCCCCTCCCTGAAGCGACAAGCCCAGAAGCTTCGCACTCTGTGTCTACCTATGAGCAGAAGTCACTAGAAATGTGAGAAAAGCTGAAGATGTCAAACCAGAGACTAAAGGAAGAGAAAAGAGGGTCTCTGGAGAACCTTAAAATCATTTCTTAAGCGCTTAATGTGGTGACAAACACTCAATATCCAAGAACTTGGGAAGCATAGGCAGTTGAATCTCTGTGAATTCAAAACCAGCCTGGTCTGTATATCAAGTTTCAGGTCAGCCAGAACAACATAGCGAGGCCTTTTCTCAAATATTCATTTTTTTAAGGTCTTTGGAGAGACGAGAGATAGTATAGTCATCATACACAGAGTGAGGGGTGTCAGGAAGACTCAGCAGGTAAAGGCATTTGCTCTCAAGCCTGACGACTTCCTGAGTTCAGTCCTCAGAGGCCACGTGAGAGAAGGAAAGAACTGGCTCCTGGAAGTTGTCCTTTGATCTCCACATGCATGCTGAATGTAGCACGTATGTGTCCACAGTACACACAAGTAAGTAAATAATTGTGATTTCTAAAACAAAGGGCTGTAGCTCAGTGTTACTGTGTGCTTAGTGTACACAAAGCCATAGTTTCCAGTCCCAGCACCACGGACATCACTTTGTTTGATTGTTTGATTGATTGATTGATTTGATTGATTGATTGATTGATTGATTAATTTGGTTTTCACTGACATAGTTTCTCTGTGTAGCCCTGGCTGTGTTGCAACTCAATCTGTAGACCAGATTCTCCTCAAACTCACAGAGATCCGCTTGCCTCTGCCTCCTAAGTGCTGGGATTAAAGGCATTGTGCTACCATTTCCTGGCCCTCATTTGGTTTCTATTGCTGTGATAAACACCACAACCAGAAGCAACTCAGGAAGGAAAAGGTTTATTTAAGCTTGCAGTTGTAGTCCATCACAAAGGGAAGTTGGGGCAGAAGCGCAAGGAGGGAACCTGGAAGCACGAACCGAAGCAAAGCCATGGAGAACTGTTGTTTCCTGGCTTGCTACTTGTGGCCTACTCAGCTTGTCTTCTTACACCGCTGAAGACCACCTGCCCAGGGGTGGCCCCACCCACGTGGACTGGGTCCCCCTACGCCAACCATTCATCAAAAACTGCCCCATACACTTGGCTTGGCACAGACCAGTCTGATGTAGGCATCTTCTCAGCTGAGGTTTTTATTCCCAGATGACCCTGGCTTGCATCGAGTTGACAAAAAACAACAACAAGAGAAAACAAAAACCTAACCAACGTAGTTGCTAAAGAGAGAACAACCAAGGCTAAAAAAGAGCATTTGGAATTTTAAAAAAGGAAGAGCCACTGTCAAAATGTCAGCAGCTGGGAAGAAGGTGTAGAAGTCTAACAAATTACACTAAATGATGAAATATGAAAAAGAAGAATATCCAGCAAAAAAAAAATGTAGGAGAGAAAATGTGCAGAGAATACAAGAAAGCCTCTCAAAGTAAAAGTACAGAATGAGAAAGAAAAGGAAGGAAGGAAGATCTTCCCCTCTAGTGACACGTCACTGAAATTACAGAAGGATGGAGAGAAATAGATGAGTTTTAAATGGTACTAAGGGAAGAAGGCAAGGCTCCTGTGTGAAATACCGGCAGAACTGGCAGTTTAAGGGAAAGCATCCCTTCAAACTGGAGGAAGCGCCGCAGGACAGCTCCGAGTGTGCCGATCCCAGCTGCATACACCCAGCAACCAGTTTGATTTCTGAAATCCACATAAAGGTGGAAGGAGAAAACTGTCTCTGCAAAGCTAACCTCTGATCTATGTGCCCTGGCCTGTATGCCTGCACATGCATAACACATGTACACATACACACACACACATATACCACGCGCATGCACATACTAACAAAATAAATTAAAAACCAGAAAAGAAAATTGTTTTCCAGTAAAAATGTCTAATATAACCAGACTGCATCAGAGGAAAAGGTAGGACCAAGTCGATTTAACTGAAGGACTCAGAATCTCAGGAAGCAGCTACCAAAGGAGATGTTCCAGCAGAATAAGGACAGAAACCAGGAAAACAAATGACTCAAGAAACACCGGATCCCATGCAGGATGAACCCCATATTGAAAGCCAAGAGACCCCGACAGCAGCTGGGCCTTGAGAACAGCCCCACCTCCTCCCCCAACCCAGAACAGGACAGCTGCTGGCCCGAGGTCCAGATGAGATCAAAGGGAAGGATGTGCTTCTGTTGTAGGAAATCTTTGCCTAGATGTTTTCATAGATAATAAGCATCTGGGAGAAATTAATAAGAGGCTCGAAGAAAACAAAGCAAATAAAAAACAGTCAATGATTAATTTCAGGGACAAAATGTAAGTTGTAGAAATAACGGGGCATGGCTGGAAAGACGTTGCTTGGCTCATCAGTGAATGATATTTAATGGTTAAGATACTGTTAACCTTGGGCCTGTGCAGCTCAGCAGCTAAAAGTGCTTGTCGAGGTAGCCTGACCATGTAGGTTTCCTATGCAGAGCCCATAGTAGAAGGAAAAAGTGACTTTTTACCAGTTATCCTCTGACCACCACTTATGAGCCATCATACACACATGCACACACACAGGTATATACACACACACGCACACTGATACAGATATGCAAAAGCCTGGGTTTAATCTCCACTACTGCATACACATAAGATGCAGACACGATACATGATGAGTGCATTTGTGTGAGATTCTTCTGGAGCATTGGACATGGTAGCATACTGGACTCAGGAAGTCCCCCCTCTCTCTTACACATCAGTAGGTGGCAAGTCACTTCCTCTCCTCAGGTCAGCTTGGCTATGACATGAGTGGGCTGGATATACAGCAACACGAGTATCTGGCTTGGGGCTTTTCAAAGCATCAGACTGTTAATAAACCATTATGACAGGCACTGTTTTTGCTTTTTTTTTTTTTCTTTTGAGACAAGGTCTCATGGCGAAGCCCTGGCTGGCCTGCAACTCACTACGTAGATCAGGTTGGCCTTGAACTCATAGAGATCTGCCTGTCTGTGCTCTCAAGATCTGGGGTTAAAGGTGTGTATCACCACACCTAGCTTGACACTAGTTTTTAAGATAGTTTGAGGCACCAAAATGTAACTTGGTGGTGTCTGCAGATCTGTCAGCCTGCGTCACCCACATCCTCTCTGACCGGAATAAGGATCCCAGTCAAAGCTTGCCAGAAACAGAAAACCTGAAGTCAAGGTTTAGAAACAACTTGTGTTGGTGTTAGTGTGGCTATGTTAGAATTTCAGACAAACCACAAGTTGCTTTGTAGAACACGTAAAGGTCAGAATTTTGTTATCTGGAAGGCACATGTATCTGTCCTTCAGTTTTGCTGCTCCTCTTGTTGGGTTCCACTCCTGTGGACTGCCAGTGGGAAGCAGCTAGTGGCCAGGGCTGGTAGGGCTAAGCCCAGAGCCGGCAGCCCTTATGAGCTAGGCTTAGGACTCACCCTCAATACATCAATTAAAGAAGCAAGTGATCGTGTAAGCAGAAAACGAAGGTTTATTCTGTGTGGCAGAGGATCAGAGAGGCCGCTGACCTCCGGAGCCATCTCCATGGTCCTGGCAAGAAGGTTTAAGAATAGAGGACAAGAGGTAACCTCAGCTAAGTGGTCCTGGCTATGATCTCACCACCATTGGCCCATCGTTGTCTTGACTCTCCCTGTCTTCTGAAAGGCGGCCTGAAACTCATCAGAACTGTATGAAATTCGTCTCTGGGAGCCAAGTTCTCTTTCTGGTTGGCACCAGACTTCAGTCCTTTACTCCCAACATGAGGCTCCTGAGGAGATTCTTATTACTTGGGGTGTATGTCTCAATGGTATGATGGCCAAAGGAGGGGCACTTGTATCTTTTCAGAATACTTGGCCAAGGATATGGTGCTTATGAAAGGCTGAAGGAGTGTCCATTACACTGAGTGGTACTTCTGCCTCCAAACCTGGTATTTCTCAGGGGTAAAGCTAGAGGAGGAAATCCTACTGGGTTGTAAGAAGATTGTGGCTTACTGGCCAATTTTCTCATTAAGTAGATTGGAACCATTTCTGGGGCAGGAACCTTGCTTAGTCCATTTGGGGACCCCAGTGTGATGCCCGGCCCTCCTGCCACTAACTGATTATGAAGCAGATGTTACATCCTGGATGGGTGGATGATTGGTACCAATGGGGAAAGCTGCACTAGGAATGATGCTGCAGTGCTCCCTCACTCGGCGTGTAAGTGCTCATGCACAGTCTCTCAATGAGCCTCCCAATGTCTCTATGAAGTGTTATCCTCCTCTTGGAGATAAGGAAGCTTGGGGGCAAAAACCACAGGCTGGTCATGAAGGAGGGGGCTCATCCGGATCCAGGTCGTTTGTTTCCAAACAATTCTCTTTCCCCTGCCTCCAGACTGGAGTGAGCAGACTGGACAGTGTGTTAAAGATGGCAAGGAAGTGAACGATTTGAACTCTGTACCACCTGCTCTGACCTTTGACCTTTGCTCCTGCTTTGTTTCAGGAGATCAGTTACTTTCAGTTCCCTGGAGAACTCTTGATGAGGATGCTGAAGATGCTGATCCTACCACTGGTGGTCTCCAGGTGAGAGAAGGTGTGGGGGAGGCACGGGGCTCTGACTGGAGGTCTCCAGGTGAGAGGAGGGGTGGGGGAGGCACAGGGCTCTGACTGGTGGTCTCCAGGTGAGAGGAGGGGTGGGGGAGGCACGGGGCACTGACTGGAGGTCTCCAGGTAAGAGGAGGGATGAGAAAAGGCCTGAGGCTCTGCCTTAGGGCCAGCATCCCTGGCTGTCTGCTATGGAGGAGCTGGTCCCTTCTTGTGAGGTGGAGACAATGCTTCTAGCCAGGGCACCAGTCAGGTGCTTCTGTCACCTCCATCCAGAGCTCTTCCCTGACTCCTCAACCCACACCAATGATTTCTTCCTTTTATGCAAGCTTTCAGTCATTCATGAACTTGAGGACTGTTAAAGTCAACAGTGACCTCCACGTTGCTAAGTGCAAAGGAGATTCTGTTCTTGATGTGTGTGGTATCTTCATGTGAGTCAAAGCTGTCAATTACTCACCCTTCTGGAATTCTCTCCTGATGCTCTCCCCTCCACTGACCTTCTTGCCTCCAAGAAGTTCCTTCTTGCCTCCCAGCTTCTCTCCTTCTGCTAGGCCTCTGATTGTTGCTATACTGGACCCTTTCTCCACCTCGTGTTGTGTGAGGCTGCCTGGCCCTATGTAGCTCACCATCACTGTGACTACATTCAGGAAGATCACCTGAGGATGGAAAGGTCTTTCCCTCAGCCTTTTAGAGGTTTTGGTCCACCGTCACTGCACCTGTGGTGAGGCAGAGAATCATGGCAGGGAGTGTGTGTGGAGCAGAGCTGCTTAGCCTGCGGCACCTGAAAAGCAAAAGGAAAGGAGGGGTGGAGCTGCTGTTCTAACATGTCCTTCAGAGCACACACTGGTGAGCTGTCCCAGTGTCCCAAGCACACACTGGTGAGCTGTCCCAGTATCCCAGTAAGTTAAGGACCCATCAGTGGATGAACTCAGAGCCCCAGGATCTATTCACTTCCCCAAGACCTCACATCTGAACACTGCTGCTCTGGGACCAGACTCTTCAACACATGAGATAAAACCTACAACCACCTGTAATCTCAGCACCCCCGAAGACAGAGCACCCCGTCTCTCCTATGAGTCCCACAGAAGTACTAACCCGTGTCTCTGGATGTTCACAGAATCTGTACTTTGCTGTCATCACCTAGAGACTGTGCCCAGCACCGAGCTTCCCTCTACTTTCTGCTGTCAGTAAACAGCTGCTACAGCTGCCCAGGCCTCTGGCTCTTTCTGCCCAAAGCTAGACTGTCAGCAGCTTGAGCTGTGTCCTAGGCAGATCACTCCTCCTCACAGGCCCAGAGCTCTCCTCCTCATGTGAACTCATGGGTACCTTGCTAGTCTCCATACCTCAGTTCTTTTCCATGGCTGTCTATGCTCGACCCAGTGGCCAGAAGAGTCTCAGGAAAGCAGATTGCGCCAAGCCTTACCTCATCTCTTAACCCGCCATTGCTAATCTGATCAGGCCAGATCCTTCTCCGTCTTGGGACCTCCACACAGACAATTCCTTCTGCCTGGAGCCCTCTTACCCTTTACTCTTCCTCCACTGTATCTCAGCGACTTAGAGTTGCTTCCTTAGAAAGGCCCCCTCCACAGGAGCCCTCCCCACCATTCTGCTCTGCCTTCCCCCAAAGCTATATCATATCAGCACTCCTGAGTGTGTCTGCCAGGTACCCAGCCCTGCCCTGGGTACTGCAGAGCCAGAACTTAGTCTTTGAACTCAAGTTGCTCACAGGCTCTAGGCAACACTGGCCAGGGAAACACAGTCTCCAGAGCTAAGGAAGGGAGACAGGCTCCCTTCTGGGTGGCTTTGTGTTCCTTTGCTGTGCTTCTACTGTCCTTGCTGCCTGGACAGGTAGTCAGAGCACAACATGGAGCTTGTAGACAGATTGGAGCTTCACCCTGGCCTTGTCACTTGGCTCAAGAAAATCCTGTTTGGAAATCTAGGGCCTTACACCTAGTCTTGCCCTCATTGTCACTGGTGTGGGCTAAGATGCTCTCCCCCAGCCTGTGTTCCTAGTGACAAATATCTATCTGTCCAGCCCCTTAGCTTCTAACTCTCTCCACCACACCAGAACACTCCTCCTGCTGGGATGGGAATGCTGTCTTAGGTTGAGTAAAGCTGACGTGTTCTTGTTTCCTGTGTTTATTGTAGTCAGGGCTGGTGCAGGACAACCGTGCCGTTGAGAAATGGACGTGATTTAATGGTTCCTGCAGAGGGAGAATGAAGCCTTGGTGGGAGAAAATGACATATTGCTTTTGTTGTTGTTGTTTTTCCTGGTCTGGAGCTCAAACCCAGCATCTCATAAAGGCTAAACAAGTTGTTATCACTAAGCCACATCCAAACTCCTGAATGATGAGGTCCTGACCCCCAAGTATCTCATTCCTGAGCCCTCCCTCTTTAATTCTTAAACAAGTCCAGAGTCTATCCTCCATTCGCACTGTCCCCGAGCAGCCAGCCCTGGACTGATGTTCCTGCCCTAGGAATACCACTCTGGTAAGGGTACCACATAGGTGGTTTCCAGGCACAGCAAGACAGAAACACTGTTCTAACCAACTCAGGTGCCAGGCCTCAGCAGGACTTACTCTATCAGAACTAACAAAGGACTCAAAGCAGGGTGAGATTTCAGAGCCTCTTAAAAACTTGATTGTCCTGGGGTCCAGCCTCCCTCCAGCTGGAAGGAGGTAGGGAGGGAAGGAGGTAGGGAGGGAGGGAGGAAATGAGGGAGGGAAGAAAGGAGGGAGGGAGGGAGGGAGGGAGGGAGGGAGGGAGGGAGGGGAGGAGAGGAGGGGTGCATGAAGCTGGGATCCTGCACAGGGTCCCAGGAGAAAGCAGGACCTTTGAGGTCACTCTCTAGATGTGTGTGTCCCACTTCTCAAGAGTTATTTATTTGGGGTGGGGGTGAAGAGAGATGAGAGTGTGTGGAGATCAGAGGACAACTTGTCAGAGTCAGTTCCCTCCTTCCAACATGTAGCTTCCAGGGAAAGGACTCAGCTTGCCAGTTTTGGCGGTTCCCACCTTTAGACCCTGAGCTATCTCACCAGCCCTTAGACGGGCATGGGAGCCTCAGCACTCTGCTGAGGTGATGGGAAGACTACCCTGCTCACAGGGCTGCTGTGGGAAGGTATATGACCCCGCACAGCCCTGTGTATGATGGGTGATGCAGACTTGTTCCTAATTTATTAATGTGTCTCGAAGATGTTTCATAAACCCTCTACCTCTGTTTCTGATGTCAGGGGTCATAGCATTGACAGTACACATGCCACTTCCCCAGGAAGTCCTTCTTGACAGACTCTGATACAGCTGTTCATATAGCTCTGGACTTCCCAAATGGAACAGCCATGTCTCTCTGGTCTCACCATGATTCAGTCATGGCACCCTGAACCACTCCTCCTCATGCTCCATGAATTCTCAGAGCCACTGCCTCTTGTTTTCCTCTGTTCTCTCAATCCTGCAACCCAGCAACCCTCACTCAGTTCTCCGCTCTCACGGATACCTGTTGCTCTAAGTCAGTGGGAAACAAAAAACAACTTCCCAGGCAGCTGGGAGAGCATGTTGGGGTCTTCAATATCCTTTGTTTGTTATATCCGAAGTCCAAGCCTGGTTAGGTCCCTCATCTTGGTATCTTGATGTCCCATGGGTTCCCAGTGTAGGGTCAACTGAGCCTCTTCTGATCTGAGGACTCCTCTGTAGAAGAATCCTCCTTTAAGCTCCTGGGTAGAAGTTAGTTCCTAAGGGCCCAAGGGCCCAGCTTCTGTTGTTTTTTGTTTGTTTGTTTGTTTGGTTGGTTGGTTGGTTCTTTGCTTGCTTTGTGTGTGTGTGTGTGTGTGTATGTGTGTGTGTGTGTGCACGCGCGCACACACACACACTCTTGTTGTTATTGCTTTGAGACATGATATCCTGTAGTTCAGGCTGGCCTCAAAATTAATATGTAACCAAGGGTGACATTGAACTTCTGATCCATTTGCTTCTGCCTCCTATGTACTGAGATTATAGACCTTCATCAGCACACCAAGTGCTAGAGATTAAACCCAGGGCTTCCTGGGCCTCTTTGGCAACTTAGGAAGTTCAGTTGGGCTTGGATGTGCCTTATTTATTGACTGGAAACCTCAGTTCAAGTGAATCCCAATATCTTGCTCTTGAACCCTTCAACCCAGAGACCAAGGTCAACTTCTTTCACTAAGTAGAAGCTTCCAAGTAGCCCAGAGGGTGTCTTAATTTGGGTTTTATTGCTGTGAAGAGACACCATGTCCAAAGCAACTCTTATAAAGGTAAACATTTAAGTGGGGCTGGCTTACAGGTCCAAAAGTTAGCCCATTATTATCAAGGCAGGTAGCATGACAGCATCCAGGCAGTCATGGTGCTGGAGAAAGGGCTGAGAGTTCTGTGTCTTGATCCATTTGCCTCCAGAAGAGACTGTCTCTTCTGCACTTGGCAGAGTTTCAAAGCCCATCCTCACAGTGATGCACTTCCTTCAACAAGGCCACACCTACTCCAACAAGGTCACACCTCCTGATAGTGCCACTTCCCATGGGCCAAGCATATTCAAACCACCACAGAGAGGTTGTGTGACTGGCCAGTCATTAGCTGTGGGGTTCTAGGTTCTTCTGCATTGTGTCTCCATGAATTACATGACTCACGAAACCTGGGAAGACATACATCCCTGCTCCAGCCACAGAGATACTGTGGCCTCTTCCTCAGTCACACCCAACCATTCATTCTTCATCATTCTTCAGACTCCTCAGCATACCCTGAGATTCACACCCTGGAGGTTGAGCCTCAGTTTCTCCTTTCCTTCCCATGTCTCCCTGAGGGCTTTTCCTGCCAGCTGGCTTTGTGAGCTCTCTGGTGTACACTGCCACTAACTTCAATGACAAGGAAAAGGATTCGAAGCTTAAGTCTTTTCTTAATGAGGGCTCTGGAGACTCTATTGCAAGCTGATTCACTTTTCCACAAGTCTACAGATCTTTCATCAAACCACAAAG